AGCCTACACAGCCCAGCTGACTCAATTCTATTACCTCCATAACTTTCTAAATAAACTTTCTCTTATAATTTGAAAAAAAAAAAAAAAGTACTTGTATACAAAGATGTTTATTCAGTGATATTATTATTGTTTTTAGTGAAAAAATGGGGGTAGGAAATGCCATGATTAGGGGCATAGGAAATGATCAGAAAAATTGTGGTGCTTACATGCTGTGGAATAATATACAGCCATTAAAAAGAATTAAGCTCTCTACCAGTTGACTTGAAGAAATTTTCTTTTTTTTAATTTTTATTTATTGATTTTTATCTTATTTTATTTTTATTTTTTAACCCTCACCTGAGGATATTTTTCCATTGCTTTTCAGAGAGAGTGGAAGGGAGAGAGAGAGACAAACCGACGTGAGAGAGACACATCGATTGGTTGCCTCCCGCTCTNCAAACCGACGTGAGAGAGACACATCGATTGGTTGCCTCCCGCTCTCGCCCCGATTGGGGCAGAGTTTGCAACTGAGGTACGTGCCCTTGGCCAGAATCAAACCCAGGACCCTTCAGTCTGCAGGCCGACACTCCAACCACTGACCCAAACCAGCCAGGGCTATTTATTGATTTTTAGAGAGAGAATCATCTATTTGTTGTTCCACTTATTTATGCATTCACTGGTTGATTCTTGTATGTGCCCTGACCATTAATGACCATTAATGATTCCCATTAACACCAAGATGGCTGAAATGAGGATCCTTTAATACTTCTAAATAAATTTTTACACAAATAATTTTTTCAATTTACTATAAAATTAGGTAGAATGAATGGAAAACATATTTAATTGGTCTCTTAAACTTCAAAAAGAGGATTTAGATAAATAGATCAAACTATAATGTTATTTAGGTGTCAACCCAATTTTTTGAGGCATTAAAAATAGCTGTCTTTTTTTTTAAACATTGATTTGAGAGAGAGAGAAAGAGAGAGACATTGATTTGTCCACTTATTTATGCATTCATTGGTTGATTCTTGTATGTGCCCTGACTGGGGATCAAACCCATGACCTTAAAGTATCAGGACAATACTTTAACCAACTGAGCACCCAACCAGGGTTGGCTGACCTTATTTTAAAAGGGGGAAGGTTGCCCTGGCCAGTTTGGATCAGTGGTTAGAGCTTCGGCCCGCGGACTGAAGGGTCTCAGGTTCAATTTCCATCAAGGGGCATGTACCTCGGTTGCACACTCAATCTTTATGTGCCCTGATTTGAATCGAACCCACAACCTTGGCATATCAGGGCGACACTCTAACCAACTGAGCTATCTGGCCAGGTCCACCTTAATTTAAAATACTTTATTGATTCATTTTCATAGATGTGCCTGTTTACAAACTCTAGATGAGTCTATCCAAAGCAGACAGAGCCTCATGTCACGTGTTGACAGGCCCACTTGGAACAGGTGAAAAAAGCTAAGTAAAGGACACCAAATATACGGGTTTCTTCTGTCCACATTGTTGCCCTGTCTGTCCACATTAAAGACCAGTAAGAAGTTACAAAATGCAATTATTTCTTCTCTTCAAAAAAGATTCAGTGGAATTTTAAAATAAATTTCCTGGGCTTTCAAGTCCTGTCTTCCTCTTCACAGGAAGGTCTCCCCGATGGCCAGGGCTGTGGTGCCACCACCACGGACCTCTCCCCAGGGGTTCAAGAAAACTAACCCAATCTGCCCACCCTGTCCTGCTTTCTGCCCACACGAGGGCGCTCGCTCCACGCCCCAAATAACCGGCCACCACAGGCCAGGAGGTTTTTCCAAAGGGAGCTGAATAGAGCCAAGGCGTGGATGTGACTGGGCAAACCAGGACTCAGGCCCCGGGTCCCTTCCAGTTGTCCAGCCATCAAGTTTCTACTCCCTGAGGGGCAGAGGAGACAACTCCAAAGGGTGGAGCTTCCAGCCTTCTCAGGACTGTTCACTCACCCCACCCCGTGGAGGAAGAAGACCTACTTCCACTAAGCTGGGCCCCCAGGAAAATGGGGAGGTAGGTAAGAGGGGAAGGAGGACATGGTCTTCCTCTGAGGTCCCCAGAACATACAGAGGAACTCGCCTGGTTCAGACTAGGCCTGGAGAGGACAGAACTGTGACAAAGGCTGCACACCCTGACACACAGTTTACCCGTTTGCCCTGCCTCCACGCCCTGCCTGAAAACACTAATGCAAACAATGGGCTCCGACAATTAGTCATCCTCCCTGATGGGGGCCGAGAGTCAGTCTTGGCTCCAGGGAATAACCCAGTTGACTCCTTCTGCTGAGTCTGCAGGGATGGGCAGGTCTCGATATTGGCAGAAAGGCTTAAAGCTGCAGTTTGCGCAGTCCCGGGGACCCCGCCCCAACCCATGGGTGTGAGTGCTCCGTGATCACGTGTTCGTGCAGCTGCCAGCTCCTCAGACCACCACCCCAACGTAAAGGACCCTCTGCCTGAACGCAGGGCCCCTGAAGCTTGCCTCCCCCTTAGGCCAGGGCATGGGCAGCTGCAGGGAGCTTAGCATCATCTTACGGGCCTTCCCATCAGTTCCCCTGACTCGTGAGTCACTGAGTCACCCCCAGAGGTGACTGAACAAACCCTCTGCCAGCTGGTACAGCACCAAGCAGAGGAGGAAGGAGAAGTCATTGGGAAGCCAGGACACAGGAGTAGATTTGACAAATATATATGCGTTTATTGTACAATTATCCACCACTGAATTTGACTTGGTGCCACCACTTGTCCGATTTCTTTTTGGCCACTGAGAACCTCATGGTAGAGCATAGCCAAGGCCCCCAGGAAAGTGACATATTCCTGGAAGTTCACCACCTGGTCCTTATTCTGGTCCATTAGCCATTATTCAGGTTGGCCATTAGCGTTCCGGTTTCGGAATCTGCAGCTTCTAGTGTGTTAGGATGAGAAATCCAGAGTCAATGGTTATGAGAACCTGGGTGCTCTCCCTTTCCCCCTCCCAGTCAGCTCTCACTCATATCAGTGGCTCAGGGGGGTGCTCACTTGTCACCAAAGACGTAAGTCCACCTCGGGTTCACTTGGCTTTACCTCTCCTCTGCTCCTGCCCCTCACTCAGTGGGAGTGAGTACCAGGCTGAGAGTACCCCCACCCCCTCAGGGGAGTGGACCAATGGGCTCAGTAAGGCATGTGAACTAGGAGCCCAGAATGTGATAAATGTGAGTCGGATGCACTTGGCACCTCCCCCTCTCCTAATCCTGATTCTAAAGGACAAGAGGTAGGAAGAGGAGGTCTAGGGGGCCACTCACAAACCTCACCAATGAACAGTTCATTCTGGATCAAACCCTTCAGCTCCCTTTTGCTCAGGGAGTTCTTGTCACCCTCCCTGCCAGGCTACTTGTGGAAGATGGACACGAGGAGGCTAATGACCTGATCCAAGGAGGCTGCTGTGGCTGAGGACTGGACTCAGAGTTGGAGCAGAGGGGCTGGTCAGTGCCATGAGCTGCAGGGCCATCTAACTCACCCACACACCCCAAGAGCTCTGTCCCCACCACCCTCCATTCCCTTTGACTAGCCTGCTTGAACCACCCAGCCTCAGGCACACACCCGGGACATTCGGAGACCACCCAGGGCTTGAAGGGGGGGAAGGGGACAGATTCTAGGGCCAAGAGATCAGTGGCCTGAAGGGGACCAGAGCTGAGGAGGAGGGGTCGCTGCACCAGCCCCTGGCCGCAGAGGGACTGCTGACAAGGCCACAACTCACCCTGTAGCTGCAGCCAAGCCGACGGGAGCGGTGGAGGGGATGCACTGAGTAGCACCAGCCAGGTTCGTGCCACACCCCACCCCTCGGTTTGCACAACACCCACCGGCCCACTAAAGTTTTCATGCCTCCTGCCCCGGGGCTGTCCTGGGTGGGGGTGGCTAGCGGGAAGATGGGGGACCCAGTGGAGACTTCTGCTCAGTGTGACACAGAGGGAAGGAGGTGGAGAGCCAGAGCAGTGTGTGTCTATGTGTAGGGAGAAGAGGGTGGAAAAGGGTGCCCCCCAGAGGGTGCTCAGCTCAAACCTAGATACGGGAGTGGGGAGAGTAGCCAGTGGTGTACAGGATATGACTTAACGGATTTCTACAACACCTATCTGCCAGCAAAAATAAATTTCTGCCATGATCCAACTCCCTTCCCCGCCTACCTGGCATTCCACCTGGAGATTTTCCAGGTTAATGAGCCAGTCTGTAAGCATCATTAGTTATTTACCCCCCACTGAAAGGTAATGATTGAGGTGGGACTCGCTGCCAAAGAGGAGGAAATGGGGGAGAGACAAGGGTGCTGCCAAGTTTGTCCCCCCCCTTTTTTAACCCTCACCCAAGGAGTGAGGATATTTTTTCCATTGATTTTTAGAGACTGGAAAGGGTGCGGGGAGAGAAACAGATGGAACCTGCAACCCAGGTACATGCCCTTGACTGAGAATCGAACCCAAGACCCTCTGTTGCGCAGGCACTGAGCCACTCTAGCCAGGGCTAGTTTGCCCTTCTTATTAGTGTTGTCAGGGTGACCTCCTGTGAGCTGGTGACAAGTCAGACTGGCTTGTCCACCACTGCCTTCAGAAACCACCCCCCAGTGACTCCCAATGTCCTCACTCTCAAAGCACTTTCCCCCTTAGCTTTCTGTGGATCTTAGCATCGATGGAAGGCAAGCAAAAACCTGGCCCCACCTCCCCACTTTCCAGAAGGGCAAAACTAAGCCCCGATAAGCTCAGTGACGTCCACAGTGAAGAAGACCAGGGAGTGGAGTGGCAGCCCAGGAACCTAACACCCAGAGGCTCTCAACCCACTCAGGGAGAAGCTCTGTTTGCCCCACCCCACCCCCAGCCAAGGTGGACAAAACATCTTCAAACCAGCCTCCAGACACCTGGCATGGAAAATCTTTATTTCTTCTGCTGGAAGGGAAAGCTGGAACAAGGTCCACCTGGGAGGGAGAGAGGGCACAGGGCTACAAATCACCTGTGAGGGGAGCTGTAGAGGCTGGGGCAGGGGCTGAGCCAGGTCATTTGTGGTCCTCCAGGAAGAAGTCATTGTAGGCCATGCACAGTGTGGTCAGGAACACCGAGTACTCCTTAAAGTCGATCTCCTGGTCGCTGTTTTTGTCCAGGCTCTTCATCAGGTCATCAATGCTGCTCTCCTGCATCTTCTTGGAGGGCCCAGGTAGAGGGAAAAGTCAGCACCCCTCTTGGCCCTTCCCCACCACTGCACGGTGCCTCCCATCCCCTGGGAAGGCAGCCTCAGGGTGATCCTCAGCTGGGTCAGCAACACTCTGAGCATCTCGACCCCCAGTCTCCCCCAGCTCACAACCCAACAGGGCCTGGCACCAAGCAGGGGCGTGGGCACCTGACATCTGAACTTCAATTACAATAGGAAGGCAAGGCATCCCTCGCTTTCCCTCACCACTTTCGAGCATCCAAACAAATAATAATCTAGATTTTATACAACACCTGATAGTAACAGCTTGGTGACAATATGGCATTGAGCATGATCCTAGTCCCTGACTTATTCTGTCCCTATAGGGGATAGTTGAGGATTGACCCAGACTGCACATCTCTCTATGACAGTGGTGTGTTGGAGCTGAAAAGCCATGGTGTCCTTTCACTGCTAGGAGAATTTGCAGGACAGCTGTATGGAGATGAGTGCCTGGCGCCCAACTGTAATCTCTGTCTGATCCCCTGCCCTCCCGGCACAGCTCCAAATAGAGAATGGAGACAGGGCCCTTGATTGGTACAGAAAAAAAACACGGACATCCTGCCCTCCCCTCTTCACTGCGCCCAGCTCCAGCTTTTCCATGGGACACAGGACGTTGGGACATACAGAGATGGAAACAGCTCTCTGTGATGCAATCCTTGTCCCCAGTCTGGGCTCCAGTTATAGCCAGTCCCTCCCCAGGGCTTCTGTCCTCCTGTAATTAGCCCCTACTGGACCTGCGGCCCCTCCCTCTGCCCTCATTAACTCCAGGATGCAGAGAACCTGGCAGGAAGGCCAGAGAGCAGGCCCGGTGACACCCACATCTGCTTCAGTCCCCTGCCCATAGCAGCACGCTCGGGGAGCTTCCCTCTGCAGAGGCCCACCAGGGTTCAGGATATGACAGGAGATGCACCCAGGCTGCATTTTAAAGGAAACGGGGAGAGAGATCCACAGGCCTGGCCTGGAATCCCAGCTCAGGCTCACAAGCTGGATATTCCTAGACAAGTCATATAATGTACCTGAGCTTCGATCTTTATTTTATTTTTTTTTACTGTAAAATAATATTATAACTACCTCTTAGGCCTTCCGCTCCATCAGTCGCCTCCCTCCCACCATCTGCATCTGGTAAGAATCAGTTCCTTCTCGTTCCAACCCTGTGTGCACAGACTAGCAGCACGATCCTTTTGGTTCCTGTGTCAGCACCAGCTGGGAGCTCTGCGTGTGGGGGCCCTGCCCTTGAGCTCTGCACAGCTCCACCTAGACTCCCGGGTCCCATCGTCCCCTACAGTGCCTCATGCAGGCTCTGTCACCGCCGTGCGGGCCTGGCCACATCAAAGGTTCCTTGATTTTGTTCTCTAAACCCTCACACAAACTTCCTTCTTCCCAGTGAAACCTGACTCATCCCTCAGCGCAGAGGTCTAGAGTTCTGTTGGCCCAAGATGCCCACCCTCTTCCTTTGGTTTCTGTCCCTTTTGTCCACCCTGCTCCTGGCTGAGACTAGAGTACCCTGAGTGTAGGTGTGTGTCCCCTCACTCTGGGTCTCTATGGAGGCAGGGCCAGTCTCCCAACTCCACTGGGACCCCCTGACAGTGACATCAGTGCTTCCTCTTTTTCACCTCCCCTCCTATGGTGCCCACTGGGAGCACTGGAACTTTGGAGAGGGGGGCAGGGGTTAGGGGGGACAACCACCTACCTCGCCAAGACACAGCTCCTTCTTGATCAGCTCCTTTAGTTCCCTCCTACTCAGGGTCAGTTTGCTGCCCTCTTTCCCCGAATATTTGTGGAAAGTGGTGACCATAGTGGTCAGGGCCTTCTCAAGAGGGGTCTCCATGATGGTGTGCAACTCTGGAGGGGAAAGGAAGGGGGCAGATCACATTTCCAGGGAAGGCAGACCTTCTGCTGCCTCCTATTACTAGCCTAGTTCCCAGACCCCTCCCTCAAGGACCAGAGACTGGAATCCATGATGAGACCAAAATCCACCAACAAACAGGTGGAACCAAATGTGTCAAGGCAGGTTCGAGTGAGACCCAAGGCTCATTTGGAACAGTCAGAGTAGTGAGACTGACCAGCCCCCGAAGACCACACATTGCCCTGCTTGGAGAATGTTGAAAAGGGTTCTAGGGACAGAAGAATGACAAGATGAACTCCCTAAAAGAACTGATGATAGATGGTGGAGCAGGTAAGGGGTCAGGATCCAGCCTGGGCATTCATTTTCAGAGGCAGCCCTCACCCTAGTCACCCTCCTTTGCCTGGCTGCCCAAATCTCCTGATATTGGGAAGTGTTCCATTATAGGAGTGGGAAACAGGTCAAGGAGAGAGTCTGGAGGTTGGAGGGGGCTAGGGCTGGAACTGGGAGATAAAGTCTCAACAGGAATGGAACAGAAGTGATTGGACTTGTCCAGCTGGTCTCCAGTCTGTAGCCCAGAGAGCTGCACATGCAGACTGGCCACAGGCAGCAGGGGGGATGGGCTTGTTAAAATGTCCAGGATCATATAAGAGCTAGCTAGATCCAGAGGTTGCGTTGGATGGGGCCCTCTAGTTCATGAGCACAGCCACACCCACCCAAGGAAAGAGGCAGCTGGAGCTCCCGTGACTCAGACTTGAAAACCACTTCCCCCTTCCGGAGGAAGGAGGCAACACCCAAGGAACTTGGAGGCTGCAGGTAAATCTCTGCAGAGTCTGGAGCAAACAGGAAGAAGCTGCTGGCTCTCACCTGCAGCCCAAAGACCACCAGTGATTCTTGAACTGGACCTCATTCACCTCCCACCTCCCAAAAACCTCTGCTTCTCCCCATCTCCAGGAGACTCAGCCAGGACTACAGTGGAGGCCAGGGCCTCTGGGCAACGGCAGCAATGTCCTAGCTGGTTCCAATCCCCACCTCCACCCCCAGAGCCCTTCTCAGGAAATGCTGAAAGCCACAGTTCAAATGCCCTGAACGCATTCTCACTCATTGGGCTGGGCCTTCCTTGGTGGAGGTCAGCATGGCTTGTCACTGTCTGGCCTCATTGCCCAGCTTGCTCCACCATATCGATGAGCAGGGAGATCAGAAGGTAGGACTCACCAAGGAAGGAGGAGCAATCCAGAGAATCCACACGGCAGAAACAGGCTCCCTCCCACTGCTCTCTGCCTTTATTCCCTCTCTCCAGTCCCCAGGAAATCAGGGGAGGGGCAGGGCCAATGAGAAGGGGCCAGGGACATGAGGAGACCCAGACCAGAGCCTCCTGAGACAGGCCAGGAGGAAATTCCCTCTACCAATCTCACTTTCCTATTTCCAAACAGAGGGGACAGGGCACACTGATCCCACCGTGGCATATACATCTTCAGCCCCAGAAACTGTTTTTCCAACCAAAAACCAGAATTCACAATCTAGTGGGTCAGCAGGGCAAAAGAGGAGAAGACAGGCTGTCCTAGAAAGAAGACCCAAGCGGTGTGGGCCAAACACAGGGTATCTCCTATGCCCTTAGGCCGCTGTCCACTTGGGAGCTCCCACCCTCACCAAGAAAAGAGCAGACACACCTGGATACGGGAATTAGTGGGGGAAGGTGTTTCTTGCCAAAGGCATGATCCAGGACATTAGCTAGTGTGGAGCCTAAGGTTTTTAAAGGGCTTTCAAATGAATGATTTCTTCTGTCACTCAACTTCATGGGAAAGAATTGTCAGAGACTCTTGGAATGGAGGACTGAGAATCAGGGATTGGGGAGGGGATCCAGGGAAGGGTAGGTCCTGGTAATCTGGTAAAGGTTTCAATTGTGGGAAGCAGGTTCCAGGTGCAGTAATGAATGGGTCAGGGGTCAGGGAGAGTTACCTTACCCCAGGAGAGATTCACTGTTCTACCACCAATCAGTCCAAGTCTGAAAACAGAACCAAGTTAGGGGCTCAGCCCCTATGGCTGCTGCAGCCCCACCGTAGGTTGCCTGGGTCCTCGCTGCTGGCCCCATTCCACTCCCACCCCCGCTGGCAAGGCTCGAGAGGCAGCAGGGACTGGTCGCCTGGCAACAGGAGCTTCGAGGGTGGCGAGGGAAGCAGGAGGAGGCTCAGGGGAGGGCACCCCCAGGATGATGGGCAGACTTGGGCAGGGCAGAGAGAGAAGGGGGGAGAGAAAAACTTTTTTTGGCCAGAGTTCTACCAAAGTCTCTGTAGTCACACTCACGGAATATCTGAGTCATCTACCCCATTCTCCTGAAACTTGAGAGAAAAACACAATGTAATGAGAAGAAAAGGGGAAAGCTTGAAAGGTCCAGGGACCAAACCCTCCCCGCCTCTGGACCTGCCCTCTACTCAGCTCTTCCTTACAGGTCCCCACACTGCCCAGGTGTGGCCTGGAAAGCTAACCTCAATCCCGCCCACCGGAGGCTGTAGCCACCGGCCTTTAACCTAAGGAAAAGCAACACCATGCCTGATATTTTCAGGGATGGGGGATAAAGCTCAATTTTATATATCAGATCATATGTCTGCAATTTTGTCTTCAAAAGTATGGTCACTTCTCACCATCTCCCTCTTTCCCACCCCAGTCACTGTCATCCACTCATCCCTTCCAAGGTCCTTTGCCCTTCTCTGAAGGAACATGATTGCTAACTAATAACAGAGCTCACTCATCCCAGGACCTTTGGGACAGAGACAGGGGTTCAAGAAGGACGATATTCTCAGGCTGTTGCCAACAGCTGGTCTCCCTCCACATCGCCTTTCTGATTCGACCATGTCCAGGAAGGACTCGTCCGTCCCTGAGGGTTTAAGCCACGCGCTGGAAGGTAGTGGCAGGACAGGGCCTGGGCTGTGATTGTCAGGACTCGGCCCTCCTCCAAATCCCACACTGGCCTCCACCGGCCTCCCCATGACTCAGCCCATTCCCCCAGGACGCACAAACTCCATTGCAAACACCAGCCAGGAACAGATGTGACCTTCAACCCATCCCAGCCTCAGTTACAGGTCCTGCCAGAGACAGCACTGCAGAGGCGGGAGGGGTGAGTGCCCTCGCTAAGACATTCCAAGCCCCTGGGGGCCCCCTTCATCAGCCTTTGGTCCCATCAGAGTCAACTGTGCCACACACACACACACACAGAGTCGCACCACATCCCTCCCCCACCTCCACTAATCTCTCCACAAAATTGCAGCTCAAATCCCAGCACTCCCCACCCCCATGCCC